GTGCCGCTGTTTGACGGCGGCACCGTTATTACAAAGGAGGTACGGTACTGCGAAAACAAAATTTTACATAATTTATGTATCGCTTTTGCTTCCTTTGTTTTCTTTTTTCCGTTCGAGGCGCTTTTCCTCGACACAAGGTAATAATTTTTTGTGCGGAGCTTCTGAGAAACAGGCGCACATGAAAGCTGAATTGGAATTTGCAGGACGTGAGCGGCGTGTTCCACTGAAATTTCAGCTTCCTAGCTTCCGCGGTCCCAGAGTTGAAAGTGAGGGCAAAATGCACTTAGACACAAATACATAGACATATGCAAAGATAGGGGCGTGACAGTGTGCCTTTTGTGCTGCTGTTAAGCATAACTAGTAACATCAGAAGCCAGAGGGAACAACACAAACAGTTTGCTTCTAAGCAACACTCGAGGTCAAACCCAGTTAAAGACTTCTGTTGGCAGTTTCTTCGAAGCACCTCCGAGTGTTTCCTCCTCACAATGTAATCGAATGCAGAGGAGGTCTTAACTTTTGATTTCTCAGTTCGTTCGAAAAATTTCTAACTGCTGCATTACGATAATCACAAAAATGCCTTTCAGATTTCGTGCTGCAGATCTAGATGGTAGAATAGTCTTGAAGAATCAGTTCTTCACTTTATACTGGAGCATATTGAGGAATCAAAGTCATAAGGTATACATACTATCGAATCTTCAAAAACAAGTTTGTTGCTGTGCAATATAATGCGCATACACGGCCAAGAAATGCAATTTTTTCTCTTTTTTGCTTTTTTTAGTCCAATAAATGGCCAAAAAATGTATTAAATTCGCCCGGCCGCTTATGCACGTCTTTTCTAGCTTCTGTCTCCCCTACCTCCCCATCCTCCCTTACTCATTTCATTAAAGTTTAATAAGCTTAAGAAGGATGCCTGATATTAACAAAAGTCCGTTTTCAGACACTCTAATCAGTTATTTTTGGGGACTACTCTCTCGAAAGTACCTTTATCTAGCTTAAAAATATTTCACATTTTTTTATGTTTAAATTTTGGCTTTTAGATTGTCTACAATGATGGTGATATTCAAACAAATTTTGCTCTAAGTTTCAACAAAATTGGCGATGATGGCGGATCATATACAATGGTCACACGTGGATCATCAAAGGCATCTTATTTAACCAGTCTTCTGATCAGTTTGAGCACACTTCTTCGCCCTACAAGTGATACCATTCCTTGGCTCAATCGTGCCCGAAACCAGTTTTTGAAATACATGTAAAATATACAATTTCATCTTGTATGAGCAGTTTGTTAATTGTGGCAGTATTTTGGGTATATTACAGTAAAATTCGCAAATATAAGGAAAATGAGCTAGTAATGCGTGTAATTTATATAGCAGAATGTGTAATATGCGTGGAAGTGGACTCCTTATTTTGTATGAGCATATCTTCCACTAACATACTTTACACCTGAAATGTAATTCAGTGAGGAAAACATGGGATCGATCAGTTTATTGGTGACTTTCCTGATGCGCAACACTTTTCATTTCTTTTGGCTTCATTTCATTAGAAAGTATCTTTTACTTCTGGAAATAAGCTTTTTTTGAGCATATTGCCGTGGAAGTGTAATAGTAAAATACCAATCTTTCAGGAATATGTCAATGAGCTTCAATCGCCTGCACGTCTAATACAGGGACCAGTGTATTCGTCATTCTTCCAACGACTAGCACCTGAATTAGCATATGGTATTACGGTAGTGAATTCGTCGGACATCTCTGCTCGAGTTCTTCAAGTTGATGTGTTCACAAATGTTCGTAAAAAACCGGGTTTTACGATTATGATGAACTTGCATACCGTAATTCGGAATGAAAATCGTTTTTACACCGATGTGAATGGAATGTATCTGATGGAGCGAAGGTATGTGAAGAGCTATAAGAAGGGGATTGCGGATACTGTGACTCAGTTTATGCTGGGCACTGTAGCTTTGTTCATGCTGGATACTGTAGCCTAGTTTATACCGAGTACTGTCGGTTGTTTCCTGCCCACTTTAGCCATATAAGAATGAGAAGTAGACAATAGTGATAACGGTAAAATTTGTGATGCAAGAAAACATAACTGTTTTCTCAGCTAGGATTTGCTTCCTGATAGAGCAGTACCAAAAAATTTAGAGTATTATAGGGATCATTGATGCTGAATAAAAAAGAGCGATTCAAATCCAGTGCGCCTTGTTGCTAAGTAACATGCTTGTCTTAGAAAAATACTTCCAACAGTACGGTCCCAGAACTAGCATTCCAACACAAATTCTGACCATAACTTGGCCTGTCAGTGAAGTCCTACATTTTTATGCGTTTTGTGCTGTGTAACAGCAGTACAAAACGCATATTGTTACAGGATTGTCTGTGTGTGTGTTTGTGCGTGTGTGTGTTTGTGTGTGTGTGTGTGTGTGTATGTGTGTGTCCGCAGCAACTTTCAACTTGGGAACCACGGAGTCTAGGAGGCTGAAATTTAAGACTAATGACCCCCCGCCCACGCTCAACCT